TCATGGACGCGAGGGACGATGCAAGGCCACCTTTGCCATCCCAAAGTCATGGCAGTCCTGGGGCACACTCCAACGGTCCACTTGCAAAACCATGCAGGTGCTCAAAGCCCTATACACTGGCCGAATCAAAACCCTCGCAAAGTGCGAAGCACTACCTTCCAATAGAAACTGATCACGCCTGATGCCTCAAAGCGGAAAAAGGAAAGATGTGTGGGAGGCAGGGAGGAAGCCGCGCAATCTTGTATCCCTAATGTGTGCGTTGGTTGTAGCTAGAAAGCCGGTTGCATCCTGGACGCGACATGACCGCGGCGTGGGAGGGCGGGAGGAAGCCGCTCAATAGTACTGCCTGCGCGACAGGGTCTAAAATCAGTAGACTCGCACGTCTCACGACATGGTGTCTTCTGTGTTTAGACCCGTTTGCTTGACTATATATTAGACCTTCAAAACCGATCATGTGGACAAAAAACACCCACCGGACTTTATAGGATACAGTAATCGTCGAAGAAATTCATGTATATTTTACATAAGAACCTAGTTTCAAGAAAGAAGGCCTGTTTCAAGAAAACATAGTATAGTTTTATGTAACTTCAGCATATGTTACAATATATATGGCTGTGGGTCGAAACCCGGTTCCCTACGTTGACCGCCTGATCTGAAGGTTTGGAACGAGATGTGTGACCCAGAGGTCTGGACCGGCAGGTATGTTCCGGAGGTCTGGACTGTTTTCAATCTTTGTATTATATACTTAATAGTGAACAAGTTAGAACGTATGAGCGTTTGCGCAGTCGCTAGCTATACACACCCTGCCCTACCCTTCGAGAGGCTGGTATGAAGCTGCGCATACCCAGGAATCAGCCATGATGCTGCGCATGACATATGGCTGCGTCATCTTCGCGCGACGGCGGCTGCAGGCGGTAGCCTGTCAAAGATATGAGCACCTGTGAGTATGCTTAAAGCACACAACATCTGTTGCACCGCTGTGCCAAGTTACATCGCCCGTGGGCTACAACATGTCATGCTATGTGTTTTCCTCCCTCACTTGATTTGCTCTGCTCAGGCCACACTGTTCAGTTCCTGAGATACCATGCGACCTTCAGCTCCAGTTTCACTGTGGTCAGGTTTCACCACGCCCACCTTAAGAGGCTAAAAGACCGGTTGCGCGCTTCTTTTTGCTTTTGGGTCCGCAGGCTCACCTTGTTTTTTGTCTATGAAGGAGTTTCATTTCATTTCATGGCATGCTGTGCGTTCGTCGAGGAACTCAGCACATATTGCGTGAATTCATGAATTAGGGTGAGGATTGAAATCTGGGCCGGGACACCTGTTTCACTGTGCATTGCCGGGGGCAGAAGAGCGGTTCTTGCCGCTGACCTTCAAACTCCGCCAAAAGAAACAAGCTTGAGCCTCATAACTACGAAAGTCAATAGAACAGGTTTGCGGGGCATGATCACGATAACAATAATGTTATCAGTCTGCCACTGGTCCATCAGGTCAATCAGCTCAAGGCTCCAGATTCGAATTCCTCCGAAGTGGGCAACAAAGGGTGTGAAGGAATTTGGGCCCCCTTGCAAGGCTCTCCATCCTGCTATGTTCTGTGACCATCGCATAGCACCCTGTCGGTATATGTAAGAGTACCAGGCGTCATGCCATCGCTCATTCCACTGATTGAGTAGCCAATCTTTCGTGGCCCAAAAGATCTGGGTTGCAGGTTCACCTGTCACCCTCTTTCGTATCCACTTCCTCAAAAATATACCGTGTTGGTCTGCATCAGTGAGATACCCTGCCTGTTGCGGGACTCCTCATTGCAAGCTTGGGTGTCTGCCCACTGCTGTTCCATTTCTTCTCTGCTTGCTCCTCCTCTAAAGGCATTTATCTGAAATTGCAAATGCATAGAACCATCAATCACTGGGATGTCGACAATTCCTGAAGAGCCGCTAGGAATAGACCAAATTGTGATATCATCCGACGCCCAGGGTCTGCCCAGCATGGTCAATGTGCATCTGTCTGTCCTCCGTTTAAAGCACATGTCTTTGAGTCCAGTAGCTCGAAGCTCGATCCATTTCAGGAGAACGCCACCCCTGCCATATGTTTGAGCCCCCTGTCCTGTTGGAGGTCCAATTCCTGATAGGCAACTGACTACCCCAGCCCACAGAACTGAAACTCCTAAAAAGTGGCTCCTTGTTCAAATGCGCCTGATAGTCAAGGAAGTAGTCCCTTCTCGAATTGTGTCGACTCAAAGTTCTCCCAACTGCACTTTGCCTCGGGTCCATTGAGCCAAAAAGTAGCCCGGAGCGAATGAGTGCGACCTTCTTCAAAATATCTGAAGGCTGACCTTCCTTCCGGTCGATTCCTCCTGCTTTGTAATCCTGTCTCATGCTAAAATTGCTCAAAAAGCTGTCGTCCTGATCAGCAGCCATGGAACTCCTCAGGCAGTTGCTTCTCGAGCCGCCTGTACTTTCTCCATTCTCAATCGTCTGCGTTTGGCCTCCTCGCTGTCTGGACTCTCGACCCTTCCGGGCGTGCATCCATGGCCTCGTCTTCTGCAACCTGGGCCTTCTGTAGCTCGCCCTCTGCCTCTCTCAATTCCTTCTCGAGAAGTGCCACGTCGTCGGCTTGGTGGTTTGCTTGACAATATGCTCATTCATTGCATTTTCGAAGACTTTCCAAGCATCCTTCTTTTGTTTCATCCTCTTCTTGATCTTTTCTTTCCTGACCAGGAATTTCTTCCTCTGGTTCAATGATTTCTGTTCCTCCTTGAGATTGCTCAACGGCTCTGGTTCTGCTTTGAGCAGTTCTGAAAGGGATTCGCTTGGCTCGACACCACTTGCCTTCAGGCATTTGATGACCTCCTTGCGCACCTCGTCCTCCAGCTGTTGCTTCTGAGATGAAGACGAAGCTGAGGCTGATGAGGAGGCAAAGTCGTAATCCGGGAACTCGAAAGCTTTGTCCTGAATCTCTCCTTCTTTGTTCCCTTTCTGCTCCTTCTTCTTGTCTGAGCCTTTGCCTTTGGCCTTCTCCTTGTCCTCGGCTTGCTGACGACAGGCTCCTTCCCATGTCGACCGCCAAGGTTGCTTCTGTTTGCCTTTGCCACTGCATGCTCCATCCTCCCATTGAGTTGTTCCTCCAGGAATGATGTAGGAGCAGGCGTTGTAGTGCAAGTCCAAATTTCTTCTTCAGACCTTGCCTTGGGTAGTGGGTACTCCTTTGCTCCTTGCGGTGCCAGGTAGGACTGCGAGACCTAGCCAGCTCGTCACCTCGCCCTTCCCCACAAACAAAGCAGCAATGGCACTGTCGGCGCGGAAAAAAGGTCGCGTACGAACGGTGTTCGTTCTGGGGCTCAACGCACCGTAGAACTACAGTATATTTTGGGCCCTCCGATGGTTCAGGGAACACATTCAGGAAAGTGGGTTCTGTCAACAGCAAAACAAGTCGGTGACGCATCTGACAAAGCAAATTCCTTTGTCACAGGGAATCGAAAGTTCAATGAGTACCTCAAAGTCAATGCTGCCATGAGGAATTTCGACCACGAGGCATACCGAGGCAGGGAGCCTGGTGCAAATACAAACGGATTTGTGATGTGCTCCCCTGATGTTGCAACTCTTTTGAACAGCACAAGTTTGTCATTGCGGCTGGATCTACTTCTTGGGGAAGTCTGCTTGCCTGAAAACCCCTCCTTTGAGGAAGTGGTCTTCAGTGATCGTGAGTTGACCAGATCCACTCTTGATTACGCCACAAACTTGGCGAGAAAAGACCAAGCGGTTCGGGCAGCCTTGCAAAGGCTTGAGGAACTCTTTAACGACCCCGTTGAAGCTTTCAGTTCCGAAAAAGGAGTAGGATCGATTGCTGGTGGGACAACATTTCCATTGTTGGAGGCCCCGGCACTGGTGCTGTTTGCACGATATTAAGGTCTGTTCAACTCAAGATGAAGGACAGTACTGCGAAGGTTAGTTCTTCCAGTTTGGAGGAAGGCTCTGTTTCTTTGATCTGCGGCGAAGGCTTTTGCTGGGCTAGCGGATGTTGGCAAAGGGTCGACAAGATTCCTGTTCGTGCGCAAAGTAAAGCGCTAAGAGTTGGGTTCATCAAGGATCTCGCTGGTGCGGCGATCGGAACCTGGACTGACGACCGGGCTCTTGCTGGAATGGACAGTCATCCGGCGATTATTGCGGAAATTTCGAGGTTGACTGACAGGTTCAACCATGTCGAGATGGCAAGCCAGAGGTTTTGTTTGCCTCTCGTGATTCGAACATCTCGCGTTGGCCTCACTTGCAGCCCCGAGCAGTGCAATTTTCCTCGGAGACACTGTACCATGGATGTTTCTTCAGTCGACTTGCTTGGTGGCTGTGTGGAGCAGTAGTTGAGAATTTTCAGGAAGTAGCTCTTGAGGAATATGAGGTAGTTGTGAAATATGAGGTAGTTGTGAAATATGGGGGGCTGCATGCTCACTGCAGGTTTCGTTGCAGCAGGGTTAGCTTTGTGAAGACAGCCTTGCATCCTTGAGGGTTGAGTTTGAAATTGTGAAGTTGTTGAACTAACCTTTTCAATGCGCCCTGCTGGGCTGGGCAAACAGCATGTGGTTGCGGGGTGACACCCCAACCACTTTCTGGGGACGTGGGCCGGGAGACAAACCCAGCTTCTGCGCATTCTGTTGGCCTGCTTTGCTTCAGCAATAAATTCAAGAAACAGACACCTTATAAATTTTGTGAGTTGGTGCTTGCTCACAAATAGGGGCATTTGCTTGCAAGACTTTCTTGACGTCGAGGCAACAAAGCTGCCAGTCTGCCTCTGTGGCGCCCGATGCACCTCCCACGACAGTGGCTTCCTGCAGCGTGGCCGATGCATCTCATACTCAAAAGACAAGAGCTTTCAAGTGGGGCCAGTGGCAAGGGTTGGATACTGAGAGGCAGCGGTGCAACTTGAGCCGAATGTTTAGGATTTTTTTGGACGTGGCCAAAAGCAAGGGCACTTAGTTCTCGTGTGCCGGGGTTTCTTGAAGCCGTTGCCTGATGGCAGACGAGGTTGTTGGTGTCACACGCCATTTCCCATTGCATTTTCCGAATTGCCTGAAGGCGTGAGAAAAGATTTTCAGGACATTCGCAATGTTGTTCGTCGAAGCACGGTGCAGTCTTTCGACGCATATATACGGTACTCCAGACCGGACCAGGAGTGATTTCTAAGGGTTCAGAGGGACTTCTGTGGTCTGGAGTCCGCCTCACCAGGATCGCTGGGGTCTTGAGGCACCCGGCTTGCGCCGGAGAGACGGTGGTGGCCGGAGGTGGCCGAAGTCCGTTTCAGCCGCAGGAGCGCGAGCAGAAGCGCGTGCAATTGGAGGCCGGCTGCGGTCTGGCGGCGGAGCCCTCGTCCATTGGTTTCCAGCTGAGGTGTTTTTTGGTCCAGAAACAAAGCTCTAGACCTGCAGTCACAAAACGGGGTGGTATCCATGGAGGTAGTCGGGGTGCCCATGATCCACTCACTTGGGGACTAAAAACCACCCTTTTTCCAGAAACAAAGCTCGATAGATACCTGTAGACCTGAAACATTACTTAGAACTGTCATGTCTGGAGCGAAACATCCGTTTATTTTTTAGAACCGTCATTTTTTGTTATATTTTGTTAGGTTTTGAGGTCTTCTTGATAGGTTCTTGCCCAGTTGCTGAAACTGCAGTCAGCGGCCAGCTGGTCACGACCTGGGTCATCCTGCTTGGGTCATGGGTCTATCACACGACCAGGTGACCAAGATACCTGGGTCATCCTGCTTGGGTCACCAATACACTATCCTGCACTGCGTATGGATCTCCAGACAGGATACCCAGATAAGATGGTCCAGGTAGGTCAAACCACCCGAACTGATCGGCCAATATTCCAGTACCATACCCATACCATCCCTAGGGATCCAGTCGTACCTCCTCAAAAGGTACGACTGGACCCTCCTGGCACCCACCCCAGTCCCACCTTCTTAGAGGGTACGACTGGATCCTTAGGGCATATTCAGGGGACTGGAATATATGCCTATACCCCGGGTCAACCACCCACACTGATCGGCCAATCTTCCAGTCCATCGTATTGAGGTGACCCTTCGGCTGACCTTTTCAGACACGACCTGGACTTGGGACTTGATGTGAACGCCGGGGGCGGTTGACTTCAGGGGTAGATGATCAATGTCCTACCCAGCGAAAAGTGGGATATCCTCTATAACTTTTTTTGGGGGGCATTGGACAGTTGGGTGAACCTTCATGCTCCGGGGAAACAAGAGGGAGTCAGCTCTATGGAGTGTACCCAGACACGACACATGAGACCGGCATATGGATCACACAATTGAGCCCTGAAAGAACCACCCCCAACGGCCCAATGGGTCGGCGGTCTCATAGAGTTATGATAGGGCCAGTGATAGGGTATACCTGGACACCCGGACCAGGGGTGTCTATTGATAGCCCCGAAAAGAGGTGATTCGGGGTGTCCATTAACCACTCCGACAGTGGGTCCTGGTATATACATTCTACGACACTCTGACTCAACATGGAAGTGGATGGCATGGAGATTGGAAGACCTTACCGAACCGAACCGTTTGTTTCACCCTACACGTGTTGAAGCTGTCAGGTTTACAGATGCATTTTTGCAGTCACAGCGGCCACACCCGGCGAGACGGGCACCGGCGCTTCTCTCTGTGCCGCGCTGCTGTCGTTGTCTCCAGGAACAGCAGAGATCGCAGCATGAGCGCGTGGGAGCACCCAGTGGTGGATGGTCTTGGTTTGGAAAAGAGATGACTCGACACCAGACCAGGCTGGTGGCTGGGCCGGAGTCTAAGTGAAGTCCTGGGATCTCAAGGCTGGCCCCTGTTCGAGGAGGAAGAGGCATATAGGTTCTAAAGATCCTGAAGTGGCATCTACCCAGAGGCTCAGAAAGGATCCTCAGTTAGCTAGGGTGACATGACCCTCACAGCCAGGGTTTTGGACTAAACCAACATCTAGCAGTTTGGGGGTCCATGAGCCTCTGGGTAGGATAAATTCAGAATCCAACATGTGTGGATCTTTCTCTGAAACTCTTGGGCAACAAGGAACCAAAGAATTCTCATACAAAGCAAGACCCACCGAACACCCGCCCAATGTTGAACAACCCCAGACCCATATATGGAACAGTTACTGTACCTGCATTTACACCATTTATGACCTCAATGTAGGTAGCTATTCCATACATGGATGGTCTGGGATTGTTGAACAACACACGTTTCCCGCCCAGGAAACAGCGCGGAAGCGCCGCGAGGAGGAGCTGGGCGCGCAACTGGCGCAGGCGACGAGTTCTGCTGCGCGTTCTGTCGCGTGGGCTGTGCGACGGGCGGGCTGCGGATTGGAGTCCATATTGAAGGGTGTTCGCTAACTGGCCAACTACCAGGACTCACAAAGGGGTGGTTTTCAGTCCCTATAAGTGAGTGGATCATGGGCACCCCTATCCTCCAAGTTCGGCACCCCTTTGTGACTGCTTGGTAGACAGAGTTTCACTTCAATGTAATTCAGTGCGTAACAAGTAATAACGCTTTCAGAACCTGAAAACTCAAGCCATGCCCGCAAGACCACTGTTTAACTCAAGAGCGTTTCGTGTTTACGGTGAGCTCCAGGCGTTTTTTGGGTCACGGATGGAGCTCGGCGCCCGACACCTTCGCGGTCCGGGTCCCGGACCTATGTCTTGGAGCCCGATTTCGGAGATAGGAACCAGGGAAGTGTACGATCCTTTGTGAACAGGGTCATTCCTTTGAGGTCCATCCCATGCTACGCATGTGTGTTGGTCGTGTCTTCTGTTCAGTCTCCCTCCTCCATTCAGATGCAGCACACTTAGCACGCTGTTCCTTTTCTGGGTGACTTCACGCTAAGATGTGTAACTCAACCCTGTGAGTCCGCGGCTTCACGCGGTCTCGAACAAAAAAAACAAAAAAAGCAGCAGTCACGAAGGGGTGGTGTTTAGTCCCATCCAGTGAGTGGATGTGCCCTTGTGCACCCCTATCCTTCCTCCAACACCCCGTCGAACGTGACTGCAGGAACACACCATCTGTCACACCATCGGGGGTCCCATCTGTCCGCGACAGGCTCAGCGAGAGGAGTCGGAGGTCTCACGGCAAATGGAGGAGTTGAAGCGCAAGGCTCCGGGTCGACTGATGCCACGCCGCACGCGGCGTGTCGTCCGCGCGCGAGAAGGAAAGGGCGCGCGCTGTTGCTTGGTGCGAGACCCGGCGGGTGGAGGCCGTGTTTGTGTGTGGTTGGAGCGGATGAGGTCGTTGTGATGAGGATTGAGAGAGGTGTGTGTACACCTTGGATGATGATCATGACACCCTACGAGGATCTCCTCGACGTTGCCGGTTCTTGGGGCAACACACGGTGGTGACCATCAGAGATCACATCCACATACCAGCACCAGAACCTCCAACAGGTCACCCAGACCGAAACCTGCAACAGGGCCTTTCCCACCCACCCAACCCTCCATGCAATGGAGACCTGTTGGAATTCGGTGCTGGTACGTCGTTGGCTGGCGGATTGATGCGCATTGGCCTTTCCAATCCGCGCTCTGCGGCTTGGACGGAGCTGTGGAGCTGTGGAGCACCCGTTGTGGTGCCCATGGCGGTCTGGATGGGATGGGCTGATGTTGGCTGATGTGGGCGGGCCCGTCGTCATGGGTCTGGACATCAAGTCCCTGCCATCATGGAGCAGTACAGCGATGTAAGCGCCAGACGGGCGCGTCGTCACGGCGCGTGCGTCGTCACGGGCGAAAAACCGACCGATCGCCACAGCGGCCTGGGCCCACGTGGCCCCCTGGTGGGCCAGGGGTGGGTGGATGGGGGGTCCGACCGGTCTGGAGCCCGGAGTCCGCGCGTCTCGTCTTCAAGGAGGTGAAGAAGCGTTTGCTGAATGGTGAAGCTGTTCATTGATTGGTTGCCTGTGGTTTTGCTGGTTTGTTGAAAACGGTGATGTACCTGATGCGCCGTGAAACAGTTGTGATCAGTTGATGTATGTTGATGTATGTTGATGATACTCGCCGCTCGGTCGGTTTCGGTGGTCGTGATTTTGGAATTTGCACCTTGAATTTGGAGTTTGGAAACTTGATCAGATTCCCTATAGCCTTCAAAGACCATTAAATGAACGGTTGAGCTGGTGGTGTAGTGTAAAAATCCTTAGTAAAACAATGGTTCTTTGGTAAAGACCATTAAAACAATGGTTGTTTGAATCCTAGGGGATTTGAGAGTTGTGGAGACCACTTCCAGCACCACGGGATTCCGGGTGTCCATGAATAGCCCCCTTCAAGGGGTGTCCATTAACCACCCCTTGAGGGTCCAGGTTGAGGTTTAGACCTCCTTGCATCGTATTTTGCTTATCACATCTTATTAACTCAAGTCTTTTTAAACTTAAGGTTTGTCGTAGGGTGTGACGGCCTCCAAACGCACTATCTATCTTGAGTGTGTGTGTGGTTGGAGCGGATGAGGTCGTTGCGATGAGGATTGAGAGATCGGTTGAATGAGAACAATGAATGAAGATTCTGTGCTTCCCAGACGCGACCCTGGACCCGAATCCTGACGGGGTCGGACCGGTTTGAGGTGTCCAATCCCTATGGTTTTGAGGGACCAGGAAAGGGCTGTGAACGGAGCGTTTGTGCTTTAAAGCATTGGTCTCATCATCTCATCGTCTAAAAATACCCAAGTGTCACTTGGATCTCCAGCCTGCGATGAATTTCCGTGCTGGCCATGGAGGCTGGCCCAAAGTTTGTCGCTTGGCAGCGGCCAAGAGACGTTTTCGACCCCAGAGCCGGTGTTCAGCACTTGTTCACATGTACTTACCCTGAAAGCTCCATCCTAAACAGATTCGCTTTGTTTGGCCCCGATTTTTGTTGGAACATTGGCAACATCCCTTTCCATGCGCGCTTGCACATGGCGACGCACGCAGTGTTTCAAGGGAGATCGGCCCAAGGAGCCACGTTTGCTCGAAGGTTCTTCCTGTTCGACCTGCAACGCCCACCACCACCTGGGCCGGTTCGATGGATCGACCGCATCAGGCCAGCGATCTGGCTGCCCGTCCGGGCTCCTGGTTCGGGTGGAACCGGGAAAACCGGTTCTGCTACGGCTCCATTTCACCCGATCGCCTGGTTTCGGGTCATGGCACCCTAGCGATCTGAGTTTTGTTTTTTTTTTGGGGGTGTAAGACCCAAAAGGAGACTTCACATTGATGTAAAACGTCTCCTGGTCCATGAGTTATACTACTAAGCTCCTGGCCCATCTCCTTCAGGTTCGGTGGGGACTGACCCTCCTGGCACCCACCCCAAGCATCTTCGAAACGGAGGTGCGCCAGGACTCCTAAGGATAGTACATCCACCCAGACGCGACCCTGGATACCCTGGACCCTCAGATGAAGGGGTCGGACTTTGAGTTGGAGGGGCCAGGGGTCGAACCAATCCCTAGGTGTTTGAGAGACCAGCCCAGCCCATACGTACCACTGTGGGGTCCTAGTTCAGGTCTCTCAACCTCTCTTGGAAGGGCTGTGAACGGAGGGTCTGGGCAAGTTCCATTCACCTGGCTGGATCGACTGGCTTGACCTGCGGTGGTCGCGCAAGTCGACCGACCCCATGACCAATGGGCAGACGGACTTCGCCGTCGTCTCGTTGTTGTTTGGGGGGGGCGATCTAGTGTGTTACTTTCGGCCCCCGTGATCCGGACTTTGGGAGGTCTTTCGGGGGGCAACCTCTGAATTCCAAAGCCGAAGAGCCGAAGTCCGAAGTGGCTGACACAGATGGCCCAAAGAGTTCGGCCGATCGGTGGTTTTGGTTGAGCAAAGATGGCCCAAAAGCGGAATCTCGCAAAGGGCGACCCCTTCTGGGGGCGGACGTTGGATCAACCAAGGAATCCATCCTAAACCATCTAATGAGCCTGGTGAAGGGCGGATCTGATGTTTTCCCGCACGGCCCTAAATCCCCGTAAATCAGGGTAATGACTCTTAAGATTAGTAAACCCCATTGACCCCCTCCCAGGCAGAAGAGGATTTTCCATTTCAAAGGGGTGGTTTATTAATCAAGAGTCTACATATATAAGACGTTTTCTTCCAGGTTCCTTAGAGCAGCACATCCACAGTCGATCATCGACCGTCCGTCCTTCTATGTTCTTCCTGCCTCGGCCTTTACGATCAGAACCGCTCAAACGATTGCTGGCTATGCTTAAGAAAGCCATAGCATGCCATAGCTAGGGTTCCCAGTTTTGTGGCAGAATCTGGAGATTTGTCATCCTCCGAATTCCAGAATTCCAGCGATCCTGAATTCTGCTGCACGCGGAGTCAACTTGAGGTACCTTGATGACGTCAAGATTGGTGGAGGGTTTTCCTTCGCCTTCTTAGTTGCATTCATATCTTGCACGCAGCCTCCACATGTTATACTCATGACGTAAAGATTGACACACCCATGAGCCCAGCTCCCTTCAACGCCTTCGCATGTGAGGATCTTTTTCAGTGATTTTTGACCCACTGAAACCCAGCATGGACAGTCTGTGAGCGCTGTCCTTCCCCCTTCAGGTCTGGTCTTCGTCCGACCAGGAAAGTGTTCTCGAGGTGTCGGACGAAGACCCAACGCACAGCCAGCAGAGGTGGGTCACAACCCGGTCACGTTCGACCATCCTAGTTCGGTACCCCTGGTTTTCCGGGTCCGACTCGTTCAGGTCACGGAATTCGCTAAACTCTGTTGGAGAAGCATGAACAAAAACAAGAACCAGACGACCCACGAATTGGTCGAATTCTTCATTCAGATTCATCTCACATCAACTAAGGGAAAACCATTCAGAAACGGTGCACAAACCTTTGGAACTTCCATCCCATCTCCATTCGCACTTCCTCCTCGGGGTCACCACACCTCCTCGTCCTCGTCCCGCCCTTCCCCGAGGCACAGCCGAGCTGCAACGACAGTTGGTGGGGCCCACGCGACCCGAACGTTCGCGCACCCGCGGCCGCCGCATCAGTTCAGCGGAAGTGAGTTCACGCGGGTCGGACGGGCGATTTCGCCCAATCGCGCGGGTCGGCTCTGTATGGGACGGGGCGGCGAAGTGGATTGACAAGCGTTTGGGGTGTTTGGAAGGCGTTGCTTTTCTTGGAAATCTTTTTGGGGGGCTAGAGTCCACTTCTATGTTAGTACATTCATTCACCGTCCCGCATGAACATGACCACGATCTGTGTGGAGCAGGGTGAGACGAGATTGAGATCCTTGCCTAGGTCGTCGACGGTTCGAACACATTTTTGGAGATCAAAAAAGACCTTCACTTTGGGGTGTCTATAAATACTTGTCGCCTCTTACGAGGTGAAAGAAGGTGTCCCAAAAAATTCGTTGGAAGGTGCTGGTAGTACCTGGACCGGACCTGTCTATGGGTGTCCTGAGTCCTGGGTACGAGATCCAAAGGGGTGTACCACGGAGACCCCAGGAGACCCCAGGCTAAAGGGAAGGTGCTGGTAGAGTTCTGACCTTCTTCCATGGTAGAGTTCTGGTATGTATATTCCTGAAGGTCCATGGTATGTATATTCCATGGTGCTGGTGAGTCTTCAGGAATATACATACCATGGACCTTCAAAGGGGTGTCCTGTCTGGAGGTCCCTTAGTGGTGGGATGTGGTGGGCTGGGGCTTCCAGCCAGGGCACCCCTTGGAAGCAGCTGGTATGTGTGGTGAAGTTCAGTGCTGCGGACGTTCGACATGGACGTCCCTGGGGGTTCGTTGCTGGTTCGTTTGGGGGTTCACTTTCCACTCGAGATACCTTAGGATCCCCAAACATCGCTTCATTCCACGAAAGTCACACCCATCAGAGGATCGGAAAATCATGGGAAGAGCAAACTGTCTAGATTGAGGTCCAAGCTGAATCATGTTGCGGGATTTGGGGCGAGTTGGGCTACACTCATGGAGCTCATGCTGCTTAGGCCTATAGGAATTCTGAACCATCTGTGATTCCCAGGTTCAGCCATGGAACGAGGAGATACAGCTAGGTGTGACAACAAGTTGATTTGCAGGCTGAGGATCCTTTCAATCATTACAGCAGATGCGGAGGTTTGCATGCCTGCTCTTCGAAGGATTTGGACATGTACGATACGGTTCACCCTGACACACCTTTCCATGGAAGTCGAGTGAACATGAGGAAAGTAGTCTTCCAAAGAGCCATACCATCCACTTCCATGTGAGGAGCTTCGTCAGAGTGTACTTCAATGCCCGCCTGGGATGACCCTTTGTAAGGACAACAACAGCCCATGAGGCGATCCGGGTGACTTCGATTCCAACTATCTTCACTCAAGGTTTGTCCAAGGCAAGACTCTCGGGAAGAGGACCTTGGATGACCTGGGATGTTCTTCTACAGGCACTGAGAGTGGCCAGAGTGTGCCTGGATCTCCGGATTCGCAGGCTGGGCTGGCCAGAGAGCGCGAGAGCGAGGTCCCTCCAGCAGCTGGGTCATGAGAGAGTCGACGTTCGCAGGGGTGGCGCACGATGTGAGACACTCCCTCCCTAAGGATCCAAGTACCCTCTGAGAAGGTGTTTGGGGGGTTTGGAGGGTCCAAGTACCTTTTGAGGAGGTACTTGGATCCCTAGGGGTGGTTTATTGGGGATGATGAGCAGACTCTGGAGGTGGAACATGACCCCTTCGATCCCTTCTGTTCCTCTACAAACGGGTGGTTGAACTCCAACTTCCCCGATAAAAACCACTTTGTGGAGTGCAATGTCTGTGGCAGGTGCGAAGTTCCAGTGCCGCCACCGTGATGTTGTTTCAGGTTGAAGAGTAAGCGGCATGGGTGGTGTTCCAACAGAGGTTATAGCGACCTTATAAGACCCTACTGGGATACCTACGGGATAGCCTATAGGGTTCTTCAACCTCTGTTGGTGTTCAGTGTTGCCAAAGTTGGAACTGTAACACACTTGTTTCATTGGGGCATGTTTTTGGGTCGCTGAGCGGCTTTTTGCGCAACGTTGGACACCTGGAAGTTAGAAGATCCTTAACACGTGAAGCTCTGCGATGAACCAGTCCCATCCTTCACCACCTTGTAAGCATGGCAACATGCCCAGCGGTCACAAAGGGGTGGTTTTTAGTCCCATCCAGTGAGTGGATGTTCTGGGCACCCCTATCCTCTAAGTTCGGCACCCCGACATGTGACTGCAGGGTGTCTTTTTTTGTTTGAGTTTCATGCTCAAGCATCGCATCTGAACCCCAGCGCTTAGCAGGAGCTTCCCCTTAATGGCTGGGTGGCTTTTTTAATCAGCAAAGGGGCCCTCAAAGAAGGCGTGCATTCATTTTCAATTTGGAGGCTTTTCATGCTGGTAGATCAACGAATTCTGCTCTCTTCTTGTGCGGGCCTTGGGCAAACTGTGGTGTTTGTCGTGTTTTCCCTATATGGATCTATATCCCATTCTGGGGTTGTGTTCTTTTTTTGGGGGGTTCATCTTGAACCGCAAATCCTTTTCGTCTTCATCCCGTCGAAATCGACCCTCCGCGACTTCTCGCGTCTGACGCCATGCGAAGTTCTCACGATTCACTCCCTGGGACAGTGAGGCGGACGGACGAGACATGACGATCCCATGGAGGTTTGGACGGTGTCAAAACGAGACACGGTGGTCTCCCATGGAGCCTGGTACAACCATGTCGGTAATTACACCCGTTCCTAGACATACCACGAATCGGAACCAGCAAGCCCATTGGAGTTCTCGGGGCCATGTGAGGCTTCGGGAGGGGAGGCATCTTCCAGTCTCATGGAGTGGGAAAGAGATGAAAGAGCGGTGTTGAGTGCTGACATGTGCCGACACTGGATTCTCTGAAAACACCTAAGGCGCCAGCTCCACAGAAGGAGGAGGAGATTTCTCAGATGTCCACGTCCGTTGAGTGATGTTTCCGAAAGCGCAGGGGGTTAGGTCACCATACAAGTGCCCTAATGATCCAAGTACCCTCTGAGAAGGTGTTTGGGGTGGGTGCCAGGAGGGTCCAGTCGTACCTTTGAGGAGGTACGACTGGATCCCTAGGGGTGGTTTATTGGGGATGATGGTCACATCTTCCCAGTCAAGGGCTAAGCGAGAGTGATGAGCAAACCGTGATGTCTCATCTTCAACGTGGTGCCATGCTCGTCGGTTCTGTGGAGATCCGATAGCATCACGGAGCCTGGGAAAGAGGACATCTATCCTTGGCAACAGTTCCATGGAGTTTAGGTGTTAGGGCGCCCTAGGCCCCCCCCCCCCCCGGCAAAACAAAAAACCTACCAGCACCGACTTCAACCAGGTCACCCAGACTGAAACCTAGGGCCTTTCCCACCCACCCACCCAACCCTCCATGCTTTCGGAGACCTGTTGGAAACCGCTGGTCGATTCACGGCATGGGACCTAAATGCACCATTCCAACACCCAGACACGACACTTTTCTCCGGGACTGCCATCATAGGCACTGCCTTCATGTCTCGGTCACCGGGGTGGGCCATGAAGGGTCTGGGGCGGCAGGAACCGGACTGGCAGTCCCGTCGACAGGTCGTTTCTGGGACATGGAACTGTTGGTGAGAAGATGCTCCATGCAAGTGATGACCATGCAGGGTGATCCGAAAAGGAATGTCCAAGACCCTTTGGCGGTCCCAAAAATAGTGGAACTGGACTTCCAGGGTTTTAATTTTGTGGTTTCATGTCATTTTGCCCTCGCGCAATTGAACGCATGGCGAAAGCAGCAGGGAAGGTATGAACATGAAGCGGAATGCATGGTCAAGTCGTTGGAACAATTCCACTAGTGACTAGCGTTCTCGACAGTCAGATGCTGAACCGGTTGATGGCCATGTGCTGCTACGCAGCTGGTTCCACGGTTGGGAACGAGCTGTGTTGGGAACGCTATGAAGCTCTCTTTGCATAGACTCGACTTGGCCTGTTACTTGCCCCAATATTCATCCATTCTTCCTTTAGCCTGGTCCCATGAGCCTTGGAGGAAGTCATCAGCAGCGTCAAAGGGTTTTCCATGGTCTTCCTAAGGCTCCAACTACCATTCAGTTAATGGTGTTTACGGAAGAGCCATTGTTTGCTAACTAGACTACGAACTTCGTATGCAGGAAGCAGTGCAACGCTGGGCATCGCCTTAGACTCTCATCCGCCCCCCCCGCTGCGACGGAGCCGACGAGGAGTCCAGCGACGACGAGGAGGAGGAGGAGGAAGAGGAGTTGGTGGAAGACGATGAGGCCGACTCCGTCCGCCTCCGAGCACGCGGAGCACCTGGACCTGCTGGACCTTCCAGTCTCGCTGTCGGTCCAGGGGGCGTCCGGCAGATCCACCTGTGGTCGCGAGACCGGAGGGATTTCTGCCTTTTCGGACAGGTTAAAGGTCAGATGGGCTCCTGTCGCAGAGAAAAGGGTTGGTTTCTGGTGACAGAACATGAAAAGGAGTAGGGTGACTTCCAGGCCACCATTCTCAAAGCACAAAGAAGCGCACTTACTTGTTGTCTCTGTTCTGGGAGGCTCAGATTTTGGTCAGATCTGGAAAATGGTTATATAATATGCGCACCAATGTGAGCATGGTATAGGGATCCATGTACATTGCCAGGGTGGGTCATTGCCACTAACAGTTGGCAAAATACGTTCAATCTGTATATATGAGAAAGTTCTACCGTCATCATCCACTACCCCCTGTCAATGGGATATTGCGGTACATTGCATTCCCCCCAGTTGCGCCGGTTCAACATCGTGCTATTCCCAGTGCCCTCGGGTGAAGACTGGGTGGAAGCAGTACATGGAACCTGTGCTGCCCAGAGGCGACCCGAACTCGGCCCTGAACCAATCCAATTGCTGGTCCAATTGGTCATGTCACCCGGACCACGATCGGGGAACGGGTCCTGCTACTGAGCCCAACTGGGGTGATGAACAAGTTACTGGATTCCCTGCCGCTGACCCAAACACGACCGGCACCCCACCGGATCGGATGTAACGGGTCAGGGCTGACCTTCTCACCATCCATGGGACGGGCTGACGACCGATCAGTTGGCATGGTGCCAGGGAGGTCAATGTACAGGCATATATACTCTAGGGATCCAGTCGTGCCGAACCTCAGGTTAGGTGATTGGAGACTGTTGATGTAGGCGCCGACCGGGTCGGGCCCAGTCGTACCGAACCTGAGAAGGTACGACTGGATCCCTAAGGGATATTCCCTACATGGAGTCTGGGTCTGGTTTTGATGGACCCATCGGGACCCGTGCTTGTTTTCTCAGCGGAGCGTCGACGGAATCATCGTTCAAGCTCACCACAAGACGCGCAACCAAAACAGTGCAGTGCTACTCACGACCTCCATACTGCTTCATGACATTTCATATGAGGTGTACTTGGGAACCCACCGCTGGGAATTTCCCACACCTCAAGCTACCAGAAGGGTTGAATACTATACCTCGAAGGTGTTTCTTCTCACCCAGACGCTCATGGACCCTCCTAAGTAGGGGCCGGACCCTCCTAAGTAGGGGTCTGGACCCTCAAATCCCTAGGGTTTTGAGGGACCAGTCGAGCTGTGAACGGAGCGTCTGGGCAGTTGGATTTGCACTCCATAGCTTCGATGATCCGAGGCAGGGCCGAAAAAGACAAGACCTTTTCAGAGGATGCTTGGGAACTGCTTGTGGAAGCGATTCCCCTGAAGCGACGTGAGCCAAACAGCTGGGGAGGCTGTGCTGTTCGCCAAGCACTCCCCAGTCTGTCGTACATCGCCTTGATGCTGGCCGGGACAGGTCCCACCCCTGGATTCTGCCCGGCCACCGCCAGACCCTGACGGGTCGTCCAACTGGGTTGGTCCCCAGGAGGTGCGCGGGAACCCGCCTGGGCAGGTTGGTCTCCCGATGTTGAGCCACACACACACCCTGGCAGGTCTCCCTTTTATGGACGTTCGCCCCACCCACACCATGGCACGCCGAGGGTGACGCATCGCCTGGCAGGTCGTAGATCCCAAGGTCGCCGAGGCAGTGCCGACAGACGACCCCCGTGCGCGCCGAAGCCGAAGCGACAGACACCCGAAGCGACAGACGGGCTTGGGCGGAATTGGTGGAGGCGGAATTCGATGGTGTGGGAGATTCGAAGGTCCCAGAACCAACAAATCCGACGAATGATCCCAGATGCTCCGTGAAAACCAGCTCGACTGAGCCTTTTCTAGAGGATTCGGGTTCGATCCCTGCATGAGGGTCTTGGAGCATCTAGAATGGCTTCTGAATCATATTGCGTATAGTTTCGATTCTTGGCATGGAAACACCTCCCAGACCTGCTTTTGCTTAAGGTGATTATTCCCGTACCTGAGGAAGATGTTGTCATTTTGGTCCAGGTTCCTGGACAGCAAGTCCGACCATGGGTGTGGACAGCAAGCGCCAGGTAGCTTTTAAGTAGAAAAAGATCATCATGTCAGGTGGGGCAAACCAAGGATGACGGTGTTCAACTGCATACCCAGACCATCCAAATACATGGAAGAGTTAGAGTTACCCTAGGGCTCCAAGTACCTTCTTAGCAGGTGTTTGGGAAGGGTTTAGAGGGTCCAAGTACCTTCTTACAAGGTACTGAAGGTACTTGGAGCCCTAGGGTTACACACACATGTACCCCATTTATGACTCATGACCCCAAGTGGGTAACTATTCCAGTCCCACGGATGGTCTGCGATATGATCAAAAGTTAATTGGGATCCCTTTGTTCAAACGAGTCCGAGGGAGTTAACGTGAATAGGCTTCATGTTACCGTCTACTACATCTATAGTGCTGAGAAACAATACCTGGAAGTCCAAGACCATTTTTAAAATGGGAATGATCTGGTTTTGTAGTGTAAAATCCGTAGTAAAGCTGGTTGTTCGGGATTCAGGATGATTCTGGCTATTTAAATAGATGGTGGGCCACCACTTCTAGGGTATTGGGTCTCAGACTGGCTCAGACTGTTCAGTTTGTTTCACAGATCCACTCAGCAATGGAGCGGAGGCTTACAAGTCTCAGTACTCACGTCACTCCATCAGATGATCATCATGCACTCCACGATGTATTCACGTCGTGAGTTACCAGAAGTCACGTCGTGAGACAGCTACTCCTGGTGAGCGGATCAGGTCTTCCATTTGCCCAAACTGGGTTTCAGATTCGCTATAGGGTAACCTATGGAGTCTCAGTGGAAAAAGAATCAACAAGAGGGTTCCTGGATGCTTCCTGGATGCGATTCTGGCCGATCATTGCATCCATGAAACCCTCCTTTTGATCCCGGTCACCGGGAGCTCCAGCTTCCCACCATCGCTGCATGCGCATCACGCCGCGTGCCGCGGGCCGCACGCGGCGTAGTTCCGCTTGAGTGTGGTTCGTCATGGCGAGCTTGTCGCGAGCCTCCACCAAAAGTGGCCTGCCGCGGATGTCGACCAAGACAGGAGAGGAATTGCTGTTGTGCGGTGTGCGTCTTTTTTTTTGCGGAGGGAGTGGTGGGTCCAGTTTCGAGAAAATCATGCCACACTGATACATGGCTCGCCGATTGAGCCAATTATAAGATCACATCTCGATCCTCATGCTTTGGGCAATCCGCCACAGAGGCTCATGCAGCCACATGCAGCAGTCTGAGTCATAGCACAGAGTCTTGTTTTGCACCAAGCACTCCGTGAATGCGGGTCTGGACCCAGTCCCAAGCATTCCATGGGACTGAAATATATATGCCTACTCTAAGGATCCAGTCGTACCCTCTGAGGTTCGGTGGGACTGGGGTGGGTGCCAGGAGGGTCCAGTCGTACCTTTTGAGGAGGTACGACTGGATCCCTACAAATTGGGCATCATTGGACCCTGAAACCACAAATTGTGTACCTGTACCTTCATGTCGGGGTGTCCTTTCTGGAGATCCCTGTAGGTCGTGAGCTGGGGCGAAACCAGCCAGGTGACCCCGAAGGTGCTGGTATATTAGCAAATACCAGGTGTTTCGTCTCCTTACGTGAGTGGATGTTTTCACAAGGGCACCCCTATGGGCACCCTCGTGACTGGTATGCCAGTCTGATGGAGTCGGAGCCAGACGAGGTCCTGTCTTTCGGTTCTGCTTCGAGCCATCAGGTTCGATGTTCCCTCCGAAACCTGTGTGAAACGTGGCTAACACATGAAACATGTCCCGATCCGTTTTCGTACCTTCTCGGCAGGTGATTGGAGACACTGTTATGATCTGTTATGTAGGTTTGAAGGGTGTGAAGGCCTTTAAGACTCATGAACCTTCCTACAAAGAGTGTTGCGCAGCACTGAGTTTTTTTTTCTGATGTTTTTTACTGCATTTCTGGGTCTGAGGGGGCTGTGCCGAAAACGGGTGCAACATATAGGAACTGCTACTGCCTGGTAGAGCAAAAGCATGCAAATGCAAGGCATGAACAAAAGCCACCAGCGGTCCGAAGTGCGTGCGTACCCTTCGAAGGACTTCGGAAGGCGTCGACGCGCACTGGCGCTAGCGCATCGGCCCTTGTCCAGGAGCGGAGCTTGGCTTGCCCAGAGCGACCCTGAAGGGCGAGGGCCGGACTTCCACGAAGAAGGTGGCCCTCACCTGGGAAAAGGCGGCCCTGGCGGGCGAATCGCCGATGTTTGCTGGGAGCTTCTGAAACGCGGGCGGGCGCGAGGGGGTTAAACCTGGGTCCCCCCTAAGCCGGCGAAGAAACATGCACAAACACTGTCCGGACCAGTCCCGCCAGGATGGACACCCGTGCCTGTGATCTGGGTGGTTTCAGAATGCTTCATGAGATGTTTATTCACAACGCCTAGGGATCCACATACCTTCTCAGAAGGTACGACTGGACCCCTCTTGCCTGTCACTTTCTCAGAGAGTAAGTAGATCCATGGCACCAACAGCCATCGGGCCTTTCAGAGCGAAAGGATGTGAGGGCCTACAGCTATAATATTGCTTTCCAAAGGCTCAGTGGCAGGACCCTCAGATCGCTAAGGGGTGACGTGACCCGAAACCAGCCTGGGTGAAATGGAGCCTTCACCAACATGTAGCAGTTGGTTCGGGGCCGAGCTCGTTCGGGTCGCCTCTGGGTTGTAGCAACATGCACTACCCAGACGCTACGTGAGTTCACAGCCCGACCGGCTCCTCCAAAACCGCGATTGGTTCGGGTCTGGACGCCTCCATGAGGCCGCGCCGCCCGAACGGAGGGTCCAGGGGTCCAGGGTCAGGGTACGAGACCTGGAGGTGACCTCCCCCCCCCCATGGGTTCCCCGACCTGGCGCCTGTTGGAATGGACATCAGAATAGATGTCAGAATGTGCAGCTGACACAAATGCTCGGAAACCATACCCCAGACACTCCCTGAAAAAGATTCATATTTGCACACATTCAAGGTGGTTGATTGATTGCTTGAAAAGGGGTCCACGTGTAAATTTACATCTTCTAGTCCCATCAGTATCTGGTATCAGGATCAGCATCAGTCGTGCTTCTGGAAGCGCCTTCCGGACGTCCAACCTTTGAGAGATCCCCCGGTGCCCGTGATCCCAAAACCAGACCCATCGACACTCGATTTGTGGCCTAGCACCTGACGGTTTTCACGCCAGGTCACCTGCGACGTGTTGATTTCACGGCCATTTTTTGAGCCACCCAGAGACCTGTAGAGTCGGGTCCCAGGCGACTCCATTCCCTAGGATTCAATACAACCATTGTTTTAATGGTCTCTACCAAAGGGCCATTGTTTTACTAAGGATTTTTACACTACACCACCAGCTCAACCGTTCTTTTAATGGTCTTTGAAGGCTAGGGCATTATAATGAATTTAACTACCCTAAGAATCCTTGGGCTGTCCATGGCAGGGGTCGGACCCGACCCCGAAACGCAGGGGTCCGGGGCTGTTTGAGGGCTCGGATTCTTAGGGTACATTGACCCCTGAAATCAACCACCCGAATGTATGCAAATATGCCAGTGCCATGGAGTGTTTGGGATATATTACGATTCCATATACGATTCCCGGTTGTTTGTGGGTGCAAAACCCATGGATGTTGGGCTTTTCAGAAGATGTGTGTGCCCAGATGCCTTCTGTTGGACAAGAGTTCGGGCACGACCTGTAGTGTAAAGTCCTTATAGTAAAACAACTAGATTGTTCGGTAAAACATGTAAAAACCATGATGACATCAATGGTTGGCCAGGAAGCCAAACCGGCGTGGTGCTCCTGTTTTTTTCGGCCGCTACCATCTGAATCAGGAGATCGAGCGAAATTGGTGGAAGTCACTTGCCGCCAATGGGCCTTCGATCAACGAATGGACGAATTCTGATAGTCACAGGAGACGTCACAGGTTTCCTTTTGGTTTTTGCTGGGTAGAGATGTTGATTTCTCTGTATTTGGGGGTATCAATCTCCAACTCTCGACATCTTCGCAGTGGTTTTCTGCCACGGTTCGGTCGACCACACCAGGTTTCAGGCCGCCCAAGGGTCCGTGACCGTGATGTCGACCGACGCGTTTGGGCCGGGGTGACGGTGGCTCGCTTGGACGTCGCATCCGGGGACCGGATGTGCCCTGAAGGCAACAACGAGCCATGAAATCAAATCGCCGATCCACCTAAGTGATGTTGTACCTCTTTTTATAGGGCCATGACGCCATGTGCCATTTTCTAGAGTACCCAGACGCTCCATGAAATCAGCCCTTTCCTGGGGATTGAGAAGGTCCAGACCCCGGGTCCCAGTGCGGAAGCACGGGTCCGACACCTGCATAGGGTCCAATGAGCCGGGGTCTGGACCGGGACCCGGCAGTCGGGCTGTGGGTGGCACTCCCTTTTTCAGCGCCCCCGGCATGGAACTATACATATGGCCTGATGGTGTGCAAAAAAGAAAGAAACTCGGGTGGAATCCACACCCACCGGGTCAACGTCATCAGGCCTGAATTCAGCCTGCTCGTGCAGGATTGGGGTTCCCATCAAGGAGTTTCCTGGAGAGACCTCTTTGAGTTAAAGGTCCACGACCCCAAACTCAGGGAACCAGGAGCATCCTGGACATGGGTCACCTGGCTGGAAGCCCCTACACTACTATCCGGGCGACACCCATGTCCAGGATGGCCGTAGCACCCGAAACTTCCAACGGGTCACTACCTGCGACATGGCAAACGCCTGCATAAGCCAAGACTCCATCACTCGGAGACCTGTAGAGTTCGTCCTGGTACGATCAACGGAGTTCCATGCCCAGACACGACCTGTCTGGGACTGCCAGTCCGGACTGCCGATCACTGGGGCGGCAGTCCGGACTGGCAGTCCCAGACAGGTCGTGTCTGGGCATGGGGTCGGCTGGAACCCTTGCGGCTCAAAGGGACCAACGTGGTGACCCGAAGTCGGCAGCGCAGCGTGGCGACGGTGAAACCTCCCGGTGACGGTCGGTGACGGTGGAAGGACAGCCATTGTTGCCCCTGCCAGGTGCAAGTCGTAGAGATTTGGAGAGTGTTTGAGCCATATACCAGGACCGAACCCAACACGTCTCCGTTGCATGGAGGGTTGGGTGTTAGGCCCTGTTGCAGGTTTCAATTGGTGACCTGTTGGTCGTCGGTGCTGGTAGAGGGCTTTGACCTGTGTTTGGGGGGTGAAGTACTATAGTAGTTCTGAATTGATATCAACATGTGCTGTCTGTGCTTTTGTGCTGTCACCCCCTTTGTCCTACTTCAATCACCAAGCAAAAGATCCCAAGGAATCTCCCACCTATATGGTAGCTTCTATATAATATACGTACTACACTAATGGCCTCCAATCCTAAAAAGCGCTTCTGGCCTCCACCTACGTACTCTGGCCATCGCGTCCGGACGTTCGAAACAACGGCGACTCGGCCTTGAGCCCGTCCGACTCCAGGTTGGCGCTGGCGCCCGAGGAGTACACCAATAACCGGGAGGTGGTGATGAGCGCCATCAAGCAGGACCTGGGAGGTGATGAGGTTAGCAAGTGATATCTAGGGTGGCCCAACTGGGAGATCTGGGGTAGTCAACTGGGATAGTAATAGATAGTAGAACCTCTGTTGGGATGCCCCTCTGTTTTCGTGGCTTCCTTTTTGGGGGGTTCAGTGTTGACTTCGTCCAGATGCTACTCAAGCTTAATCTTTTCCTTGGAACCTGAGAACCTGACCAATCCTACTCAGGTGTTGGGTCATGGGTGCCCAACCCCTCCCCCAAAAAAGGACCCCCCTAGAAGTCCAGTTCGACTATACGTTTGACCGACTGAAGCAAAGGAAATTCCTCAACTCGCATCGCCTACCAGCAGTCACATGCTGGGGTGCCGAACGAACGGAGGATATTGGTGCCCATTATCCACTTACTTGGGAACTAAACACCACCCTTTATGACTCCTGCAAACATGGTTTCGCCCAAGCTCCCCAAACCCGACTTCGACTGCCACAGCCCTGCGCCCGGCCTTGCGCCAGGATGGCCTCGCGCTGCGCCACGCCTCGTCGGAGTTGCAGAACGACTGGTCCTTCGTAGCTGCGGCCGTGTGCCGCGATGGGGAGGCGCGCCGTGGCGGCCGCGATGCGACCGAGATGTGACCTTTTCAAGAAAACAGATCCGGTTCTTCCCTGGAATATACCCAATATTGGGATATTCAAACTAGGGATTTTTTTTGAACTACGGCACTTCAACAATTGAGTGATTTTCCCATATAGAGAGGGCCACCGACCTGGCCCAATCCGTCCTGGCCCCACCGCGGCCATCTCAGGCCTTGCAGTTCGCCTCGCCGGAGTTGCGCAACGACTCCAAGATGGCGCGCTGGGCCATGGGCATCCGCGCGCCGCGGCAGGTGACGGGATCAGTCTGCGAGCTGCGAGGGACGGGAGAAAAGCCAGGGATGGCGAGGGAGTGGTGCATGAGGATGGTGGGAGGATGGTGTGGGATGAAAGGTGGGGCGGTGTGGATGTTTTTGGCCGTGTGGGTGTGTGATCCCTATAGGGCTCCAAGCACATCCTCAGAAGGTGGTTCAGGGTGTCGGTTCAGGTGGGTGCCAGGGCTGTCTAATTAACCACCTTCTGAGGATATGGTTGGAGTGTAAGCAGAATGGTATAGTCATGATCCAAATCACCGATATATGTTATGTTGTATTATTGTCATGGGGATGACCATCGGGGATCAGAGGACTGCCAAGACGCTGTGTGGGGAGGTTTCGAAGAGTCTGTGAACGGACGGTTCAATATTGACTTGATCTTCTTCATTTCATGGATCAGATGGCGGCGGCGATCATGTTTTCATTGGAGGTGAGGCAAGGTATAGATATAGGTATCGTAGATCTCTTGGGTGGTGTCGCAGGGCAGGAGATTCGAGTCCCGTGAAGGATTCAAAATCGATTTGTGGCATATGAAAACCACCAAATGCATCAGAATGAACATGCCTTCTTCCGGACTAGCTGTTTTACCAAAGGGCCGAAGAAGAATCACCATTTGAGTGTGTATTGAACAGGTCTGGGGGATTTTCCCCTATTAAACTACCTAGGCCTCCAAGCATAGCTATAGCTCCAAGGTTTGGTGGAAGACTCTCCGTGAGGCTGAGCGACCATAAACCCTCGAAGTCGAACGGCCCACAAGTCTATTTCATTGCCTCCACCAAAAACACATTCCTGGACCTTCAAGGGGCGTCCAATGGAGGTCCCTTAGTAGTGTAGGGGCTTCCATTGGTGACCCCTTTGAAGGTGCTGGTTGTTATTTACTATAAACGTGTTCTAAGGATTTTACCACTGCAAAACTAGATCGTTCCCATTTGACACGCGGTCGTGGTCGAGTGGTCGGACCTTCCCGGGACAAAGCTTCCAGATGGTTTTCCACCGAGTCCGGTTGCTGGCGGTTGCGTTCGTGCGGATGGAAACGAGAAGCGGGTGGAAACCCACCCCGCTGTGGAACCTCACGGGCGGACGGGGTCTGGGGTCTCAGGAAAAGGCTGTGAACGAACCAACGGAGCGTTCGACGGGTGGTCAAAGGTTGGTGTTCTCTTGAAGTGAAGACTCTTCGATCGCTCGCCTAAGGACGCGCCCGCTCGTAACAAGGGCATCGCTACTAGTAGCAAGGGCATTACTACTAGTCAGTAGTAATGGCCTCCAACCTAGTAGTTTCCTGTTACTAGTAGTAATGCCCTTGTTACTGGTAGCGATGCCCTTTGCTACTTGTAGCTTAGGTTTGTCGACATACATCTCTGGCCTAAGGACGCGCCCTCGGGGCAAATCAACATCGAGGAGTGGACGGGCCCTGACCTGTCCGACACTCGGCGAAGAAATGCTGGGGATACTGGGCGGCTGCCCGAACAGTTACCTACATGGATGGGTCATCAATCATGGGGTGAATGTATGTCTAACAAGGCCACATACCAGAAGACCCAAGTTGAGATGGCTTTGGAATCTGAAAGAGTGGACTACCGGCATACCATGGCATACCATGGCATACCTTATCACCAACAAGCATATAACCTGACATCGTGTTTTTTGCCGGTCTAATTCTGGATGATCTGGGCTCCATGACACACGCCGATGTGGCATGGGGTCGTACTTCGACCTGAGGGTCGGTCATGGCTAGCTCGGTACGAGGAAGCACCAGTTGGATCCAGTTGGGAGCTGCAGGCTATCCCATGTCTTGTTTCCGATGCTTCAGTGCAATTTCAGATGTTTCGCATGGCAAGGGCAACGGGGTCGGAGCCTCAGGAAGGAGGGGTTTGGGGTCTCAAATCTTTATGGTTTGGTTCGGGACCACCAACAGAGGTTGAAGAATAAGAACCCAATAGACTATCCCATGGCACCCCAGGTTATGGGTCCTATTTACGGTCACGTTCGCTACCTCTCTTGGCAGGAAAGGGCTGTTTTCACGGAGCGTCTGGGTGGTTGACCTGTTTTCAGTGGGGACCCGGTGGCACTCCGCCGTTGTGTTCAGGACTCTTTTTTTCGTACGCCACAGGCCGGTGCATCCACCAGCGAAGTAAGCTTTAGAGATCTAGCTCGATCTACAGCGGAAGCCTTGAGTGAAGATCACCAGCACCCTGAAGTCTATGTATAAGGTGATCTTCAGAACGTGACCCTTAAGTCAAGGTCTTCCAGCACGGTCGGACCTATCCCGAATGATCTTGGCTGGAAGATTGCCACAAGGAATATCTTGCCGGACCTTACGTGGAAGCCTTACTGAAGTCTACAGTGTTCGATCCCATACGTTGACCCTGCCGTGCGTCCTGTGCCCTCCTTCACCACCTGTGCCCTGCCCTCCTGCTCGAGCAGAGGATCGGTCTGACCGGTCACTTCCTAAGAAACCACCAGGTTGACCTCCGACTCGGTCGTCCATTCGCTTCATGTTCGCTGGGAGAAAAAAAGGCCACTGGATGCCCGGTGTTCATAGCCACTGCCATGTACCAGTCACCAGAACCTCCAACAGGTCACCCAGACCGAAACCTGCAACAGGGCCTTTCCCACCCACCCACCCAACCCTCCATGCTTTTGGAGACCTGTTGGAAACCGGTGCTGGGTCGGGCGATAGACTCTATGCGTCACCAATGGGTCGTTTGGTGTGGGTCGTCCGTTGGACTAAAAAGGACTTGCCCGTCGTCCCGTCGGGATGTGGGTCGTCCGCAGATCACGCTTGTTGCCCAGTGCCCAGACTGACGCCTCGACTTCGACTGACCAGGTGTCAAAAGCGTGTCAAATCCTGAGTCAAACATCATAAAACGCTCATGTCATAGGCTGAATTCCGAAGAAAACCATCGAACACAAGCCTTAATGTTCCATGTTTTTCGTTGGAATTCAGCCTATGAAATCAGGTGGGCCAGCGGAATTTGGCGCGGTCGCCAGGCTTCCGGCCGCCTCCTGCAATATCACCATCCCTTCCGACCGAGTCCCCCGCAGCTCACAGGAATACAACAACATGGCAACGGGACGGACGGCGCAGCCGAACTGCCTGCGTCATGCCTCTGCACAGCTCAGAGGGAAGGATCAGGAGCTGATGCTGCACGCCATCAGGGAGAGTCTTGGCATGACGGGACGCAGAACAGGGACGCGAGTCGTTTTAGTCGCCGGCGATCTGCGATCCCAGAACACGGCGCCATGCGATCCGAATACTGCTGAAACTGCGGATTTGCCCAAACACTCATTGGACCCTCTTTCTCGTCGGGGTCGGACCTGACCTCTTCGCATGACCCTTTCCATATGCTCCAATGTTCTTAGGTTGTTGATTACCTACACGTTCCAAAGCCCTTGGTCCCTCAACCCCCAGGGATTTGAGACCCCAGACCTCTCCATATGAGGGTCCAGGGTCGCGGCTCGCGTTTGGCTAGTAAAACTTCCCGCTATGACTTGGATGGTCAATCAGCTCCATATCGTACCTACGTTGATCCCTGAAACCACACCAATATAGGTCTGTGTCAGTCATGTCTGAAATATGATTAGAGGTGTTTAGACTTTAGACCCCTTATTTTGCATGAAGCATATCTTGTTTGGAACTGTTGAGTTGATACATTTGTATTCTCTGGTTCGCTTAAATCCATACATGAAAGAGTGTGATGGAAGGCATTTGTACATGAGGTGTACAGTGTACACTCTAACGAACACATCACATGCCCAGACACTCCATGTATGCCATATATGCCTACATTGGGGTGGTTGGGGGGCCAATGTAGGCATATATGGCATACATGGAGTGTATGGATGTTATGTGGATGAAACTGGTTTGTTTGGAAGACGACCGTTCCTCCTAATAGGGACGTTCGAGCGGCCTTTTCTCCGCACTCCGCTTCCATCCCGCTTATGTCAGAGCTCAAAAAGGTGATTTATAGACGAGACCAGAAGTGGAACTAACTGTTACTGTTTTGATAGTCCACACCCTGTCCGCTGGTCGCTCATCCCCTCTTCCTGCCAAGGGATGGGGACATTGTATCTATTGTTTTAGATTCTCCAGAGACTCCAGAGAAGTGGAGATTTCCAAATGACGAAATGGGACTGCAGGCGTTTTGGGCGGATGTGTTTGTCCCAAAAAGCGGGTGTTCTTGTTGGGTCATTCCGGGAAAACCTGTGGAGTTCTGGGTCATTTCATGCCAACAGCAGCAATTGAACCTTGAACAGAATGATCATGCCTGTTTCATATCCCAGACACTCCATGTATGCCATATATGCCTACATTGGGGTGGTTTTGGGGGTCAATGTAGGCATATATGGCATACATGGAGTGTCTGGGTATGGTGTTGTTGTTTCTTTTCCGGATATCTCGGGTGAGTCTTGTCACCTGACGCCTTTGCAGTTGATGGCCGCTTTCGAGCCAATAATCCTTTGTCCCTAAGTACCTCCTCAAAAGGTACTTGGACCCTCCAAACCCACCCCAAACACCTTCTCAGAGGGTACGACTGGATCCTTAGGGTGTAGTGATTCCAGTCTCCGAGCTCGCTCGGGAGTAGACCATGGAAGCTCGGGAGTACGACTACCCGCACCTTCCAGACCTTCCAGATCAGCTGATCACCACCGTCACCACTTTGAAGTCTCCAAACGTCACCATTTCGGAGATCGGGGGGGTGCTGGTCCAGGTGATCATCTAAAAGTTTCAGCGTGGGCTCATGTGGTTTCAATATGTGTTTCAATGCTTAAGCATTGGAACTGCTGTTTTTTTGTGTGTGGAGTTTGGTGTACCCCTGCTCAGAGTTTGCCCACCACACTTGGGCACTGAGGTATTGGTTTGCTGCTGATCACTTGACTTTGCCTCTACGAGTATCTCGGAGAAGATTGAGCCCCTAGGGAGTCCCCTAGGGATCCAAGTACCTTCTCAGGTGTTTGGGGTGGGTTTGGAGGGTCCAAGTGCCTTCCAAGTGCCTTCTGAGAAGGTACTTGGATCCCTAGGGAGCATCGCAACATCTGGACACATGTTACACTCTGACGAAGCTCGTCACATTGGCGACGTGGATGGCCTTTTCCTCCCGAAAGGAAGACGACTCTCCTGTTACACTGTACACTCCACGATACTCCACGTGTTCGTCGGAGTGTGCTTTCGGGAAGCTCTTGGGCGCGACGCTCAGTTTGAGTGAACACCAAGAGAGGTTAAGTGACCTTATGGGACCCTACTGGGGTACCTATGGGATGGTCTATAGGGTCCTTCAACCTTTGTTGGCACAGGCCCAGACCCTGGTCCCTCACCAAACTGATCAGGATGTTTGAGACCCCAGACCCCTCACCAAACCCCCCAAACCCGAGGAAGATCGGGGCCGGTCGTGTTCGGGTCGCGTGGGCGAAATTCGTTCCAAGAGAGGTTAAGCGACCGTAAATAGGACCGTAACCTGGGGTACCGAACTGGGATAGGCGAACGTTCGGGTCCTGACCCACCTCTGTTGGTTTGTCAGAGTGTCAGGATGCTGTGATGGTGAAGAATACCCCGAGCATCCATCGACGGACCCCCAAGGATCCACAGACAGAGCCTTTGAGAAGGTGATGTCTTCGACACTGATATGTGGGTGCTAGGAGGGTCCAGTCGTACATCCCTATAGGGCTCCAACCACCGAACCTCAGGAGATGGTTGGGGTGAGTGCCAGGGGGGTCTAACCACCGAACCTGAGGAGATGGGCCAGGAGCCCTAGGGCATTCTGAGGTTCGGTACGACTGGATCCCTATAGGGGGAGTGTGTGCCATCGACGAAGGGACGAAGGAGGCTCTGCAGAGCGAGCGTCCATGGGATCCAGCCACCCTCAGAGCTTCCATGGGATCCATCAGACACGTGTGCGACATGGAGTTAGACATGGACACCATCTGGGAACTCACACCGAAGCTGAGAAGGTGACCTTAGTCGTCCTGACAAAAACACTTGGATCGCTTAGAGGCGACCTGAACGAGGCGAATTCCCCCGAACCGGTCCTGCCACAGTGTTGGTTCGGTCCATTTCTCCCTGGCGATCGGGTTGGGTCATGTCGCCCGGACCGCGATCGGGGAACGGGTCCTGCGAGCCTGAGCCTTTGGGAGGAAGACTTTTACCCCATTGAACATCCACGGGACTGGAATCGTGAATGACATCTTTCCCCATTGAACATGACTCATGTATGTAGAGTCCCGTGGATGGTTTGAGGAAGAGAAAGACGATTCGGACCCCGGTCCAAGCGGTTGAACACATGTAGCAATCGAAGCAATGCAACAGGTACACCCACCACCCACCCACCCACCCACCGAACCAACCAAAAGACGCTGCTGAGTTCCGGCGCCTGAAGGAGTCGAAGCCTTTCTGGCGGAAGGTCCTCGAGCAAAACGAGCGGACGGGATGGCAAGCCTTCGGCCCCGCGGCCACGGTTCTCCGCGCGGGGCTTCGCGCGCTTGAGGCGGCTTCGGGCGGAAGCACCGGTACGCGGCAGAGAAGCCGAAAGCGTTTGGAGGTGGATATGTTTGGGGGGGAAGCAAGCCCGAACACCGGACCAGGTGGACCAGGAGTCGGGCTGTGAACGAAGCGTTTGGGGTGTGGTTTTTGGGGGGGTAGATTACCGGGTAGATGCACTAAGTTGTGGGTGCCTGGTGACCGATGCGTCTCCCCAAATACTCCCGGATTCGCAAACCCCCGATCTCCCTGCTTGGGGTCGGGTGGGAAGATGATGGAAGATGCGGGTGTCGGGCGAGGTGGAGAGAGTTGGTTCAGCGGTTTTCACAAGACCATGCCCATCCGGGATCCGTTTTCGTACCGAACCTCAGGTTAGGTGATTGGGGACTGGTTATGGGCTTGGAGGGCCCAGTCGTACCGAACCTGAGGTTCGGTATGTGGATCCCTAGAGATGAACACCATGATTTTTTGGGTGACCATTCTTTCAGGACAGTGTGACACATGCATCGGGGGGTTTAGAGATGTGACGTATACAATATCAATACATCGATACATCTCGATGCCTGGTTTCTTCCATTTGAAGTGTTTTGTGTTTGTTCAAGACGCTCCGTTTTCCTTCACAGCCCGACTCCTGGTCCTCCGTTCACCGGGATTGCTGAGGCCCACCCGGTCGACCGCGGATCCTTCGGATTCCACCGAAGAACCGGGTCCGGTTCGTTTCCCTGACCTCCCAGACGAAGGTTCGTGCCGACCTGCGGGGGTCGACCGAACCTCCGACTCCATGAGGAAACTATGCACCGGTCTTCCTCCGGGAAGATGAGGAGTTGATGAACTGTGCCCTGCAGGTGCTGCTGTTTTGAAAAACCGTGGGGCCGGTATCTGATCCGAACACTCCATTTCTTTGGACTACAAAGCATACCTGGATCTTCCAATGAGGTGCGGGTCATTTGTGCCTTTTCATCCATAAAACCAGGCAAGTTAGGCATAAATGTTGCACAGTTGGAAGATCCGGACCTTCCAGCAGGTGGTTTTTGAACACCTCCTAAACCTCTAAGAGGCTATTCACAGCCACCTCTTGGTTTCGGTCCTGGTATATAGGGTCTACATTGTCCCCTGAAATCCTGCCGTAAGTCAAGTTGCGAGTCCCATGTATTGTGTTTGGCACACTCCTTCCACTAGCGGCAGTAGCGTCCATGGTGTAGATGAGTTGGAGTCGTGGGAGTGGCAGCTGTCGTCGCTGTCGTCGCTGTCGAGTTGTCGAAGGCTATTCTTCGATGGCGGGAGTCTGGAGTCAATCGATTTTGGGCAAAACCGCCCGTGGTCCATCAAAACCATACCAGGACGGAAACCAACAGGTCACCACCTGCGACTTGGACAAGTCTACGAGTTCGCGGTAGGGATTGCACCCCAGACCCCTGACCAGTTCAGAAGAACGGGTCCCGATGGGTCCCGGGTCGCGGAATCGGGTATAATAGGAGTCATCAAAGAACTGACTACCATGAGAGGTTAAGTGACCTTATAGGACCCTACTGGGGTACCTATGGGATAGTCTATAGGGTCATTCAAGTTGGTACTCATCCCTCACCCCGCAGGGTGTTTGGAGCTCTCTCCAGAGTGAAGGTTTGGGCCACGGCACGGACCAATCGGGCATCTCCGGGTGTCTGACGGTCAAAACCTCCCCACTGACCTCGCACTGACCTTACCCAAAATGCCTGAACCACCGAACCGAAACGGAGGTACTTGGAGCCCTAGAGCTCCCATCCCACCCCACCCACCGCACCCACGCCTATCCACGCGCACCCACACAGCCTCACACCGCTGCTCCGCTGCTCGGCGCCAGTTCGACCCGATGGCCTTGCACTTCGCCGGCCCTGCGCTGCGCAAGCGGCGCTCCTTCGTCTTGGAGGCCGTGCAGCGGGACTGGCGCAGCCTGCGCTGTGCGCCCGCGGAGTACCAAGCGGCCGCGTGGTGGAGGTGGAGTGAGAGCACAGACCTGAGAGGGACCTCTATTTTGGACCACGACCAAAACAGGTGTCAAATGGGTTCTAGATAACTCAATGCAAATCTTCAACAGGAAAAGGAGAAGAAGCGTGATCTTGTTTTGGGCGGAACAAGTGGTGATCATCTGTGGCTCACTGGTTTTCTAGCACGTCAAAAACCAGTTCAGCCGGGTGCATATCGGCGGGTGGGGACAAGGATTCTCCTCTAAGATTCCGGAAAATAGGTTTTATTCCAGCAGATATCCGGAACAAACGACAATGTGTCCTCACCATCGCCTTGAGTGCTGGGCCATTCCGCCTCCGTGGCGGAATCGCGGGCTCGCCGTGGCGGGGCCCCGAGGCGTTTGGGAGCATGGGCCCCGAGTAGTTCTTGTTATAGCTTCTTGTTCCTATAGTAGCGGCCAGGAGCCCCGAACGTAGCGTCCTTGCTCCAAAACCTACCTCTTTGCCGAAACAGGGAAGGTCTTTGCCTCTGGGATTCGCCCCCCTGCACGAGGGGTTGACCCTTCTTTCCGAGGATGTCGAACTCCTCGTGGCCGCGGCGATGCAGAACTTGGAGGCGACACGTCAAACGTCATTGGGAGACGAATGGGTGAGGTGTTCAACGGAAGCGGCTGGACTGGAATCTGTATACTGTATACCAGGAGCAACCAAACCCTATAGAAAAAAGATGACCTTTTTCCGAAAACCCGTAGCATACAAGACGACGAAAACCCAGTTTTTCAGTGGAAAACTACTTGGTTTCTCATGTTCCGCGCAAAACCCGTAATTTGCCCATAAAAACACGTCTTTTGTGAATGGTTTTTGAGAAACCCGGTTTTAGTTGCTAAAACTGAGTTTTTTCAAGACCCTACGTTGTTCTATAGGTTTTGGATGGTCACCAGGAAACACCTGGACTGGAGGGTGCTGGTATATGATGATCCCTGTTTTGATAAGAAAGGGCGATATTTTCAGTGATAGAGGTCCTTCAGTTTGGGTATAGATTGGGTCTGTCCTATTACCTGTAACAGTCAGTAAACAAGCAAATCACTATTTTCGCACAAGGCCTGCAGCTGAACCATCATCGTCCACTGTTACAGGTATTAGGATAGACCCAAGGTATAGAGTCGCCGTCTCCGAGTCCTGGATGCCCGAACATGAATCCCTCATGAGGTCTCGGGCCAGTCCTTTTCTGCGCGCAAGCGCGCATCTCAGGTGTGAAATCGGAGAAGAATGCAGAATGTCAGATGACTTGACCCTTTTGGGGCAAAAACCATATCCTCAAGTTTCGGTGGTTTAGGCCGCACCCACTCCAACCATCTTCGATGCTGTCGCGACGTGAGATTAGTGTCCCGTTTGGGAACGGCTCAGCTGGTTCGAATCACCAAATCCACCGGCCCACCGAACCTGGGGATGTGGGCCAGGAGCCCTAGACTTGATAGAGGCTGTCTCTCTCTGTCTCTGTCCAGCGGTGTTTTCTCGACCTAGACACCTGGTCAGGCCCTGGAATACGCCGGGGGCGAACTGAAGAGTGTGGCGCTACGGGCCGTGCAACCGCCCAGCCGAAGCTCGGGTCAATGGCAGACGCACGGGTCGAGGGTGGAGCGTCCGGTTCTCGAGGTCGTGTGTCCATTCATTCCTGGCGACCTCGCATCCCTATACGCTTAAACCCCACTGAAACCAGATTTTCTGAAGCTGGACTTGCTCCAAAACCTCTCTTCCAGCATTTGCCAGAGAAAAATGAATTGACATGAGTGCATCGCACCCCAAAACTGCCCCTGGGTACAGAATGGCCTGGGTTTGTGGGGGAATCGAAGATGGGAAGAGGAGGAAGGGTGAGGCTTGAGGCGTCGCAACTGCTGGTTGTTTGGGGGGGGTTCCTTAAAACCTCTGTTGGTTCGTGTGGTGGATCCGGATCCATTCTGGAGTAGCCAGAAGAACGGCACGGCACTGGGGGGGGACTCGCAGATGGAGTGTTTTCAGTTTGGAGCTCTACATGAAATCTTGTGCATCATAGCTTGCACTAGTGACAAGGGCATCGCTACTAGGAGCAGGAAGCTACTAGTAGCTCCTGGCATTACTACAAGAAGCTACTAGGGCACTCCTTTGAAGTGGTCTCAAGAGTTAATGATGAGACGCTCTGAGACGCAGCCGCCACCCCGCGCGGATCCTTGTGGATGTTGATTGGATATCACAGATTCGATGGTCAATGGTCCCCCCCGACGTCACCATGAGGAGGTGCCACCTTGGAAACGGAGGTGGGCCAGGAGCCCTATAGATCATATATACACTCTCGTCATGGCGAAGCGCACGCGCTTCAATTCAGGACAGATCCTGGAGGAAGAGAAGGAGAGCCTCCGAACTCGTTGCCGATGGAAAGATGGTTTCATTGCAGCTCGGAACACGCGTTTCCGGAGTTGAGAACGCCCGAAAATACACATATCAAGCCATAATAGCTAGTAGGCGTAGGCGGGTTATTACCTACTACCTGGCTAGTACATATATCCATGCTGAGAGTATTCGACGAGCTGTTGATCCTTTCTGGCCGCGACGCTGGGATTCCGGCACCAACAGCCCCAAGTTCGATTGTCCAGCTTTGACTTCTACCCTCCAGAGGTTTTTGGAGGACCTGAACGTTCGACTATCCCAGTTTGGTACCCCAGTATGTGACAGTCCTGTGGTCCCGGTCACGGAACTCGCTACCTCTCTTGGCTTCGTTGGCTTTCGACCACACCGTGGACACCGTGACGTCCGCACCTCGCCGAACGTTCCGTGTCGCGCTCAACGTGCCGGGGTGAGAGAACGGAACGTGCAGCGGACTCTCGGTGTGCTTTTGCTCACCCATCCCGGGTCGACCGGACCATCCGTTGCTCGGATGTCCTGCCAGGCCCCAAGTCGGCCATGCGGAAGTAATTACCCACCAAAGCCATCCGAAAAGGAGGTATACCTGGACCTCATGGGCTGGTTTTGAGTCATGCATATAGATCACGTGTCCTTTCTAGAAGTTCTTAAAGGCCGGAGACAGGTGACGGTCCATCCAGAATTTCAGAGACTTGGCCATCGACTTGGGAGATCCTGGAAATTCCACCCTGCGCAGGAGACCTGGACGGGCTTGCAGGATGCTGAAGAGGTGGAAAAACAGGCCAAGAAGCAGAAGGAGATTTGCCAGGAGATTTGCATGCTGAGGGTGCTGACCAGGTCCATTTTTGCCTATGTGTGCAGTCTTGTTTGGTTTGAATGTTCATCAGGATGGGTATTCATGGACTTCAATGGAGTTCCTTTCCATCTACCCATCCCTCAGTTGCTTAGCCAAGAATCCCTAGCCCTTGGAGGTCAAAGAAATAATGACTTCCATCCTACCCCTATACAGGTACGACTCAACAAACCACCAGACCTACCTGGAGTTACCGAAAGAACCTATTACTTCCATCCTACCCCTGCAGCGACTCAAAAACCACCAGACCAAGAGTCTGGAGGCCTGGAGTTACCGAGGTTTGGTGGGGAAGAGACATCAGACATCAACTGCACTGGGCACTAAGAATCCGGGCCCTCAAACAAGTATAGAGGGTGTGGTTCGGGCCCGGACCCCTGCGTTTCGGTGTCGGGTCCGACCCTTTGCCATGGAGGGCCCGTTTGGATTCTTAGGGTGGGCACTACTAAGATTGAAGTGCTCGGTTCACCATGAAGATCTGTCTTGGTGGGCACTCACTACCCTTGACTTGATGAGAGAAGCAGATGGATCTGGAAGAGGTCCGACTCTACTCGATCCGACTCTACTCGTCGACGTCGCCAGGAGTGGAATCGAGTGATGCTGCAGCTCTCCTCGAAGCACGGCCGAGCCTTGTCCTTCATGCGCCCCACCGGTGTGGACGCTCGCTGGACCCTCGAAGCGGTGAAGGGCAACGGAGTGGCTCTGGCCTATGCCGAGGCACGACACGCGCTTCTGCCGCTCGCGAGCTGGGAACGGCATGGCGGTGATGACCATGACGTTCGGGTTCAATCCTACCAAGAGAGGTAGCCAGTGACCGTAAATAGGACCTTACTCAAGGTACCGAACTGGGATAGGCGAACGTTCGGGTCCTTCAACCTTTGTTACCTGGGGAAGCGAACGATGACTATTCCAAGAGTCACATCTGGAGCTCCTGGGGGGTGTGGCTTTGTCGGCTATAGTCCCATCCGTTTGGGGCCGTGGACGTGACCGGGGCACCACAGGAACCGGCCCACCGACAGAGTGCCTTTATGGCCCTGACAGGGCTCGTAGCGTGGCGACGCACATGACAGGTGAGGGGGAGAGACGTATGGAGCATGGGACGGTCATGGAGCATAGACCTGCAGCGAAGCTTCTGGGGTAATGACTAGAATCCTTTTTCAAGATCGCTTTCTGAGAGGAACCAAGTACAAAATACTGCCAAGTAGAGCGCTGGGCTGAGCCCACAAACACCTCCTGATTTACAGCCTTCGACTGAGCAAATCCATCCGTATACCCTCCAAACATTGGCAGTGGATGACGATGACATGGTCTCCATCCACAATGCACCAACACCGGGGTGAACTCTGGCCCCTCACGAAACAATCTGCAGCGTCCAGCCACAAAAAAGAACCTCCAAACGTGCACCGCGGAAAACCACCTCAAAGCGCTCCCGCCTGCCCCGCCCTGCCCCACGACCCCCCCCCCATCAGCGTCGCGGGACCCTCTCGTCCGACCTGGGGGAAAGCGGACCGTCGTCGAGTCGACCAGGCGCAGTACCGCGAAGACCGGGAGATCGTGAACGAGTCCGTGCGTGCGAACATTGGCACTTGCTCCGGCTTGGCGACTGGGTGGGCAGGTGGATCCAAGTATACGCAGGAAAAGCCTCCCCCCCGGTGACGATCCGTGAAAACAGCCCGTTCCTGGTCCCTCCAAGCCGGAATTGAGACCCCCGGACCGACTGCGGATTCGGGTCCGACCCCTGCTGTTGCGGGTCGCTTTTTGGGCGGAAAAAACAAGGGTTAAACTCACATTTGGCAAAGTTGTTCTGTTGGCGGGGCGGATTTTGGGACACTGAACTTCAGTGAACACCCTTTTCCAGGAAAACTGGCTGGGAAGATGTTAGAAATTCCACCCGGCCAGGTGTAGGAATCGTTGGAATCGCATAGTATTTTCAGGTGCATGGAACAATAGTGCTTTGGAGTTCGTGAAAAGGGTGTGAGATTTCTTGCTTCAAGCATTCTTGGACAGAAGCAGTTCGTTTGGATGTGGCCAAACACAGGGATGAAAAGATGGGGGGCGCCTCCTGCATCATCTCAACCCACAATTTTCTAGACCTCCACAATAAGAATTTCATGCCAATTAATTCTATGTTATTTATTAACATGCCATTAGAGTATGGATGTGTGAAGGTTGAGATTATGGAGACTATCTCTAATCTCTAGAAACTAACGACATCTGGAGTGCGAGTCCAGGATGTAGCTTGACCTAGCGAAAGACGGGCAGTGACATCACCCACTGCCATATATTTCCACCATTGTTAGGCATCCACCGAGAGGCACCGAGAGGCACCGGGACCTGGGGATCAGGTGTTGGTTGTGTTGTCCCGATTTGCCATGGGGCGGACTTCCAGCTAAGGACTGGACCCCTCAACCTGGCAACCACCCCAACTAACCACCGAACCTGGGCATGTCGGGTCTGGGTCTCCAGGGTGGACGGTCCTGACGGGTAAACGGAGCAAAGACGCCGAGATCTGGGCGCCGGATTCCAAGCTGCCGGAGATCCGCGATGATCTGGTAGACGATTACACCGAAAAGGAGAAGGCAGGGGGGTGGGGGGGGGGGGGGGGGCGCCTGGGGTGGGGGGGGGGGAGGTTTCAGTCCGTGGTGAAGTGTCGGCTGCTCCCAGAACCCAAGAGCCAAAGTTGAGGCGAATTTGAGGAGTGACTCCTTGATGGGTCTCTTATTGAAAGGAAGAAGTCTTCTAGCAGGACCCCGGAATCCTTGAAATAAGTTGCTGGTTTCTTCCAAGAGATCAGTACAGAAGCAAAGGTATAGACCCTCCAAGTGCCTCAAAAAATGTGTACAAGATATACCGCTCTTTTAGGGTCATGTCCCATTTTCATTCTAGGGTGGGTTCGGATAGGTTCAAATATATCGTGGTGTGCGAGAGGGGCCACTGAAGACATCTGAAAACACTGGCGCAGCTCATCAGCTAAGGAGTATCTACTCACCTTGGTCGGCTGAAACTTGTTATAGTTCCCAGACCCTTATCGACTATATGCCATGGACCCCGGGTCAATCGACCACCCCAAGTTAGAGCCTTGGAAGTCCAAGAAAACTTTGTTGATCTGGTTGATCGTAAAATTCGTAGTCGCAGGACCCGACGATCAACAAGTCTCCGAGTTATGGAGGCTGAGTTAGCATTGGCAACAAGTCGCAGGTGGCGACCTCCAAGAGAGGTAGCCAGTGACCTGAACTAGGACCCTACTGGGGTACCTATGGGATGGTCTATAGGGTCCTTCAACCTCTGTTGGGTGTAGAGTCGGGTGTTGGTATAAAATCAAGTGTGGGCCACTTCGCCTGATCGAAGGGACCCCAATCGCACCCCGATCTTCTGCCCGATCCGTGCTCGGTTCGAACCGGCGGCGGTTCGTCCCCTGGAGGGGGGACTTCGGAGGCACAATTGACGCGACGCGGGGCGTCTCGTGGGCAGGGGCAGAAGAAGAAGCGCGGCACCTTGAAGCAGAAGCGCACCACCGTGATCAACAGCTGAGGAGGGCTCGAGACACGTCTGGGATTGGAGGAGATGCTGCCACAGAAAGAAATCGGGTCCATCAACCCCCCCCTGGCCTCACAACGCTGCGAAATGGGTGAATGCTGACAATGGAGACCGTAGCTTCCAGCGCGGGAGCGCGGCGGGTCCACCACTGGGATCGGTCATATGCCAGTCCCAGACAGGTGTTTGCGGGGACGGAAGCCAAGTCGCCTGGAAGTCAATCTTCCAAACGCTCCTGAGTCGCTGACTTGGGCTGACTTGACAGAATGTCAGTGGCAGCTGTCCAGTGTGATGAAGGATGAAAGATAGACCTTCCCACTCACCCTCCCCTACCTGGTCCAAAGTACTTCAAAGGACTTGACGTTTCTCAAGGATTCGCTTCGGAGCATCCGCCCAATTGGGTGGAGCCAAGAAGCTCGTGGGAGTTCTGCCCAATGGCCGGCCATGGCCGGCCTGACTTGTCACAAATCATGATTCGCTGAATCCGGAGGACGGCAGCAACGGAAAGACCACCCTCACTGAGTGCTGCACAAACTCGCATCAAGGGCGCTTGAACTCCACTTTTTGTGCAATATGACCCCTACAAGTCCAGGCTGGTTTGCAGGTCCAGGCTGGTTTGCAGGTCCTGAAAACCTCAGACCCAATGTTTTTGTGATCAGCTCTAAGTAAAATGAGGTCCAACTGACCTGTAGTAGGGGGTTCAGTTCCAACACTTTTGAAAGCCTTGGTCTGTCATGGTTAATTACTGGTTCCCTGCTACCTGCTATGACGACTCTGATCCCATTGACAGCAGCATCCAGTGCTTCAAGCCTTGACCAAAACGGAACACCGCTGCCATTCAGACAGAAGTAGTCGATGCGGTAGATGCAAGGTGCCGGTCCAAAGGCCCCTGATCAGCGCAGCGGAGTGAGGAGGATTTCACACACTTGGATGAGATAGACCAGGACCCACTGTCGGGGTGGTTCATGTACACCCCTTCACATCTAACAAAAACTATCAATAGAAGCCCCTTAGGTTGTCCTGGGAAGCTGCGTTTACTTCATGCCCAGAGGCGACCCTGGACTTGAACCAACTGCTACATGTTGGTTCGGTCCATTTCACCCTGGCTGGTTTCGGGTCATGTCACCCGGACCGCGATCGGGTTGGGTCCTGCCTTGGGTGGGAATTTTGGACAGGACAATCTACAGAAGCCGGGTACCCCACAAGCTCCACAAGTTTGGTGGTGATAGATGACTGGACTGGCACGTGCGACTAGGAGACCGTTGCACCGACATCGACAATCGCAGGGGGGCCCTCTCAAAGAGAGCGTCCCCGAGCGAGAAAGACCGATGCGCGGTAACGAAGAAAGGAGGAGCGGATCATCTTGGAGTGCCAGAGGGTCTATGGATCATCTTGGAGTAGGTACCCAGAAAAGGCCTAACCCTAGGGGGTTCCCCAAGCTAAGATAGAGGGAGGGCTTTGGCGACTCCCCCACAGCTCGTTCCGGATTGGTTCCACCCATTCTATCTGACCCGGAAATCCATGTACAATCAAGAAATACCCAGGCACGACCTGTTTGGGACTGGCATATTGGCCGAGAAAAGGCCTGGGGTGGTTGATTGACCCTGGGTCAATGCCCCACGGAGTGTTTGGGATATGCAAGACGATCAAGAGGTCGGAGCTAGTCATAGGCGCTTCACAGCGCTTCTTCCGCTTCAGAAGACATGTTGAGGTGGTGGGTGACTTTGAGAGCTTGGGCAGTTACGGAGGTTGATGACTTCTGAATATTCTGAATGGAGCCCCTGGGAGTTGTTCTTGCAATGTTCCAAGATAGCATCAATAAAACTGGAGAATGCAGCACTGGAGAATGCTCTGGAGGTCGGCTATAGAGACCCTCTAGACCCTTGGATGGGAACAGCAAGCAACGAAGAAGATCTTCAAGACCTCTCTCCCAGACTTTCCACTCTCTCCCAACGCCCGAACCGTGGCCGGTCGACCCCAGACACCTCCAGGGGTCTAGAGGGTCGCGTTTGGGAAGATACATGCCGCAAAACCATCACCAAGCGACCAAGCAACCGATTTTTGTACACCAAACTGACCAGATGGATGAACAGAACAGAATCGATTTGCTTTGACAAACACTCCATGGGACTGCAAGATATGCCGATCAGTTGGGGTGATTGAACAGAGGTCCATGGGTAATTATGGTTGGTTCATGTTTGTCTTTTTGGGATTTGGACGTGACATGTTGCCAAGATCATCTAAGATTCATAAGCCATTATAAGCCCATGACT